GTAACAGTAATACAAGCCTTGCAAGAGTCATGTTGAATTAATCTTTTCAGAAATTCTATTTATTCAAACATTCTGTTACTCTTTCATTATGCATTAAATAATCAGCCAAAGCTAACTAGTGTACTTATTTAAGGAAATTTTAAGCATCACCTCAATGCTTAATACACTTCTGCTCCTCTATTAGGAATGTTTTGTAGCAAGACTCTTTATGATTGTTTTAAAGTAAACGTAAATGTGTATGTTCTTCATATGTTTTGGTGCTTCAGTCGGTTTTCTGCTTATTTTCAGGAAACATAAATCATGTAGTTGTGCCTATGAGCGACCTGCTGGACCCTGCTCACTGCTCCCACAGTGCCGAGTGGAGCGTGGGTTTCCCCGCCGCTGTGTGCGACGAAACTGTTAACTTCCACCGTCTGGCATTTAACAACCCCTCCCCGAGCTCTCTGGTGGCCAAGAACGTCATCCTAACCAACTCACATGGTATAAAAAACTGTATTCGCTACTTTCAGATCTCATATAGTTGTAGAAGAAGCTGTAATTTTGTTTTCTTACCTGTGTTGACATCTACTGGTGTTTAGAAGGAACTGCAGTAAAGATTTTACAACAGCTGAAAATGCAATCAGGAACAAACTGCAGAGAATAATATTTTATCTTTATAGGAAATGTTAGACAATTATTGTGCATTAAATGCAAACCTCCTAACATGTAAACAAACATATAAATATGTGTCCTCTGTCTCTTAAATTAAACTCAGGGAGCTCCAGGGTCCCCTTTTTGAAGAAGAGACTAACTCATCCATTTGGATGGATGGCCTTGCTGCCCTCTGGACAGACGTACAACTGGTATTTTGAAAATGTGGATCACGTGACCAACATCACTTACAGCGGAAAATTCTACAGCTTTAAGGTAATCACGTCAAAGAACACGTGAGTAAAGAATGTTAAATACGATATAGGGCTTCGCAAACACTGATGTTTGTCGCACGTTTCTTTGCATACAGCGGGATCAGTACGTCATCGTCAACCACAACTTCACGCAGAGTCCAGACAGTTTCCAGATCATCGACAGGAGAAACGGCTCATTGACGCCACTGAGCTTCAGCGACAACAGGAACGGAGATTGGTACTTCAATGAAAGCTCCAACAACCTCTACTACATCGGTTAGACGCACCTTAATATGGATATATTGTTCTGCGCATTTTGATTTATCCTGTATTATTTTATTAAAGGAAAAGATCTTATGCATTTCCTATATATAATGTTACTATAATGTGTAAATACTACAATTTAAAAATGCCCAAAGTGTCTCCACACACTCACTTTCAGAATATTTTCTCTACCCGTGGCTCTTTATGATGTCAAAGAGAGCAGATGTCATGGTGCACAGATGTGCCTGAAACTCCTGATGTGCCCAGTTGATGAAATCACAAGAAAGCGGTCCTTAAGTTGACAGAGGCATTAGATAAAACGAGATTATACAAAGTGGATCTTCCTAACTCTCGCTCAGTCTTATATGTTAAAAAGCCAGTCATGTTACATGCTTTTTCATTACGCTGCTAGAATAGGAGCAGAATGTTTTTAAAGAGAGAAACTTGCGTTTTTTAATGAAATTGTTGCATTTTTTTAAAGAGCTTGTGCAGCGTGCAGTATGTTTACTGTGATAAAATATAAATAAGCGTTAAACTCAGGGAGGCCTGCTTTGTTATCATCCTTCTTTTTATCAACTTTGCTGTTTTTGTACATCTTACCTTCATTGGGTGCATGTTACTCTTGCTTGAATAAAGCATTCAGTAACACTGTGCTGTTCTCTTTGCAGTATCTGGGAAGACAAGCCAGCACAGTCGGAGGTCCAGCGTTGACCGATCTATGATTGACGTTCAGACAAACTTTGCGGTCTTCCGCTGTTTCTACCCCAACTGCATCCCTCCAACACCACCGCCTCCAGCCACTCTCGCGCCATT